CATTTAAATGCTCCCTTTTACCTTGGAAGCCACCACTGACCTGATACGACTATCACAGGTCCATCTTTCAGTTCTCCTTTTGAGGAAAAATAATTCCTAATAGCTATGTCAATTTTTCTTTCAGTTATAATATTTAGCTTGATATAGATATATTTTAACCTTGAATAAATAAAATGCATTAGACACTCTTCCAGAAAGGGCATTTCAAAATAACCTTGTTTGAATACCAAATGTAAGCACACTTTTTGTGATATCATAAAAGTTACATAGTATTTGATTTTGAAGTTTAACCTATCTTCAATTTTGTTCCTATTCTTTAAGCCAGAAGTAATGACCAAAATAAATTTAAGATAGCCTAATTAGAGAGCCCAGGTAAGTGGTGAGAATAATCACTGTGAGATGCCTGGATTGAACTGGCTTTTCCCCAGCACTGGACACCAGATTGTGAAGTTTGTATTATCCCATGTAACCAGGTACATCATTCGGAGATAAATTTGCTACAACAACCAACGTGGTTTTCAGTCTTTGCTCAGTGTCTCCGCTGCCTTAGACCTTTATATATGTATGTTTTAACCTTTATGTACGTTTCCTACCATACAGGCATCCTGGATATCTTTGTTTCCTTACACTTTTCAAAGGTTTCTCAGATATGTTTTCCTACTTGGTACCAACAACTTTCTTTGTAACTGTCTTCATTTTACAAATAAGTAAATATATAAACTATGAATCAATGGTAAATCCAAGCCTGAAAGGAGTTTTTGGTATAATCTGTTTTCCGTTCTGTCATATTTTCTCTGCACCCTGTCACCACAGAGCAATTTGCTCCATTCCTTCTCCTTTCCTAATGCAATTTGGTTTTATTACTCACTTGTTTTGTATCTGCTTATATAAGAATCTGTGCTTTCTACAAATAGGTAATTATTAAATATCAAAGTTACTTTACAGGTGAAAAGCACAGCCTCAATTAAGACATTTAGGGATAAAATGTAAAAATCACTATCTTTGAAGTAATGGTTTATCTATTACTACCTTCAAGTACTGTCCAGTTGACTTTTCCCTTTCTGCTTCTGTCAGGCAAAATTAAGTCTGAACTGGTTTTGAACATAGTGAGGACTTGTTGGCTCCTTAAACCTGGTTTCATCACTTGTCATCAATGAGAAATTTACCTAATCCATCCATGCTTCCTTTTAGCTATCTATGAAAGGGATTTGATGATAAAAGTAGCATCTACCTCATTATCTTACATAAAAATCTGAATTAGATAATGACTGTAGGGTGTATAGCATAGTCCTAGGTACAGTGCAAGCACAAAATAAATAATTGTTGGCTATCATTTTTGTTGTCAAGTCCTCTGGAGGTGGTCGTCTGAACTTTGTTCTACAAAAGATTTTACCAATAATTAACAGTTTTTAAGTTCTTATCTGGAAAATCTCAGTATGTGTGTTTCCAATTTTCTAGTAATCTGCCCACATAGGGTAATATTTATGAATCAATATTTTTGGGTAACTTCTAGTGATACTTATAGACTCCATTATAATGGTTCTCAACAAGGAATGATGTTGCACCATAAGGAGACATTTGACAATATCCAGAGACATTTTTCATCATCACCACTAGAAAATACTTCTGGCAACTGGTGAGTTGAGGCCACAGATAGTACAAAAACATCCTAGAATGCACAGGACAGCCCCTACAACAAAGAATTGTCCAAACACAAATGTCAATAGTGTACACCAATGTTGAGATACCCTGATATATTTGGAAAAAGGAGAAGTGTAAGATAGCATCATGGCTAACAGTTTAGTTAAAAAATACTTAGCAAATAATGCAGATGATGGGGCCGGTGTTGTGCACAATGGGTTAAGGCACTCCCTGTGATGCCAGCATCCCATATGGACACCATTCCTGACATGGTTGCTCTGCTTCCAATCCAGCTCCCTGCTGATGTTTCTAGGAAAGCAGCAGAAGATGGCTCTAGTGCTTGGGCCACCACCCACAGAGGAGAACTGGATGAGCTCCTGGCTCTTGGCTTAGGCCTGGCCCAACTCTGGCCATTTTGGCAAGTAAACCAGCAAATGGCAGAAATTCTCTCCTTCCCTTCCTCCCTCTCTCACTCCCTCTCATTTTTTCTCTCCCCCTCTATTCCTCCCTCCCCATTTGTAAATGCATTTCAAGTAAATAAATACATGTTTTTGTGAAGATGACTGGGATAGGGTTATGGTTTGTTCATCTTGGGGACTGATTGGCTTCATGAAAAAGAGGATTATATGGACTTCACTGTATGTTTCGATTAACCAAAGTGGCCTTGAAAAGTATGCCTTATCACCCTCTGGTTTACAAAAAAATCTTTACCTTAGTTGTTGTTGTTTTTTTTTTTTTTTTAATGAAAAATGTGATATAAAAACTAGCTAACACTTTCCAAAAGACTTTTTCCAACTACCTGTCATATTGTTTGTTTAAATTACTTATTGGAAATCTGCAAACTGCTATCTTTTTATTTCAATAAATAGAAGTATCTCTATAGAAGAAGTACTGTAAGTGACACAAGAGGATATTGATATTACAGTATAGGACATTTTAAGTGGGTATAATCAACGTTAGTTACTGATTGGTAAATTTCTCTTGTAAATATTGAGATATTCCATTTTTACATTTACTTGAATTAGCTGATATTTATGTGGAAATGACTAATATCACTCACACTTTCCTTTGGTTAAGCAATTATATGTTAGTATTTGTTATTGCTCTCAATAAAATCATTCTCTCTTTTTTTTTACCTGCTGAACACTTTCATGCAGTACTCTCGAAGGGTTGGACCAAAATGGCATTTTGTTTTGGACTTTCTCATGAATTGTTGGTGGAGATAGTTGTGTGTGTATGTGTGTGTGTGTGTGTGTTTAGCTTTCCACTTAAAGTTCAGTGCCAAAGCTACAGTACTTATACATTTTCTAAATGTGTTTTAAGCAATAAGTTGTACAACATTTTTAGAACATGTGTTAAGCTATTTCTCTAAGAATGAAGCTCTTAACAAAACATAAGCACTCTGCATGAGATCTTAGCAGCAAAGTGCTTAAAAGATAAAGTAAGAATTGGTACCATGGGAAGAACACCAGCTGTAGAGCGCACAGGTCCATTATGAGAAGTATGGTAGTGGGTAGGGAGAAAATGATTTAATCAGGAGTAAAACCAATTTTATTATAAGGGCACGCAGGGGGTGTGGCACCATAGTGAGAGGGACATTTCAAAATATCTGACAGATTTCAACAATGTGAAAACCCCGTTCTTTAAAGTGACAGTAAACCCCATCAGGTCTCCCTTTTTGATGCTATTGTTAACAGTTGACTGTTTAAAGCTGGCCTGCTAAGATGCTGTCGGCCTATTTCAATAGTGTGTAGCCAAATAAAAGACTAATTGTTGAAATACAATCAATCAAAAATGATTGCGGGGCAGAAAGAAGGTCTCCTCTGCTGATTTTGTTGTGGATCATATTATTGTGTTATGATTGAGGTAGGAATGAAGACTGAAAGAGAAGAAGAAAATAACCCATTTGAAATAAACAGCTCCACCTTCGTTCCTTCTCTTTTCAAACACACTATTGAGCAGGAACGCCACTTACTAGCCCTGGAAATAATAGACCATTTAGAAAAAAATAAAAAAGCTCTGATCAAGATTTGGGCTAATATTTTTAAAAGGACATGAACACTATTAGCAAAACAGCTCATGCAGAGAATCCCTACAGTGACAATTCTCAGCTTTTCTTACATTTTTGGTGCACAATGCTCCTTGACATTCATAAAACTGACACCAAGGGAAAATATGAACGTAAGCCCAAGATATCAGTAAAAAAACAAATTCTAGCTGACCAAATAGCTGTTAAGTTCTTGCCAGGACTCTTGCCTTTTCAGTTAACCCCCAGATTGTCCAAAAAGATTAGTTCTAGTTTTCCTTAAGCCCAGGATCCAAAATCTTTTCCATGTTGCTCGTTTAGAAAGACAAATCCTATGGATCAAAAGCAATGCCTCTGTGCCTTGCTTCTTTTTAATTGTATGTGAGGATGTCACTTTCAGACATTAATACGTCCATTTCTTGGTTGAGAATGATTCCAGACTTTCATGTTGAGGGTGAAAAGGAAGAAAAACAATTGCCCAGCACACTTTGTTTGTACTAAAACCTTCATCTTGGCATTTACTTTCTTTAGTATTTTAATGTCTCAACTCATTCAGGCTTCCCAAGCAAACATTTCTGTTGTTTCTAAAAAGAGTTGGTAAGCACTTGTGGTTTGTCTTTGGTGTGTTATCATTTCTGACAGCTTTGCATAGCCTGCGTAGGCCAACAGGGGTCTGTCTAATATTGTTGCTGGGTGCGTTTTCCTCACTGAGATGAAAACTAAAAAAAGATATTTTTGAAGCAATAAGAAGGAATTAATATCCTTTCTCACTCAGTATTCTATTCCTTGCTGACTTTATATTCAGGCAAAGAAAAAAAAGGAAAAAGTGTTACCCATTATTCCCTTGTACATAGCAAGGCTAACACATGTAAAGCAATAACTCATTTTCTATTGCCATGTTTAGCATATGTCTCCTGTTGGCTCAGCAAGGCCTTTAGGCCGGTCCCTTGAGCCGGCCATCATTGGCAACTCTTAGCCCCTCGGCCTCAAAACCAAATAGCTTTGAATCATGTTGAGCTGCGATGCTAATTTTCATACTGATGCATTATGGGAATAAATGTATCTGACATACTGTGTCAATGGCACTGTCTCTTTGTGTCTCTTGTTTTTTTGTTAGCTGCATTCCTACAGATGGTATTCCATTGAAAATGTTCCCTTCCTACGGAAAAGGGGGAAAAAAAAAAAAAAAAAAAACACGCACAGCACCAAACCTCTAGGTGCAGAAGGCTGTTAACGGTTGCTGATGATAGTAGGCAAACATTAACATAATAATTAGTGTCTTGTAATTGTTTCATTAAAACCAGTTGTTCCATTTCTCCTCGTGTTTTCCCAGAAGAGAAGCTGAATTTGGACGACAGCCAGTGGGAGGACATCCACGTTGTCACCGGAGCACTGAAGATGTTTTTCCGGGAGCTGCCTGAGCCGCTCTTCCCTTACAGTTTCTTTGAGCGCTTTGTGGAGGCGATCAGTAAGTACCTCACAGAAAGGAACAGTTGGTGGAATAAACTGGCATCGTGGAATTACTAAGTAAATAATAGGAATGATGATAATAATAACCGTGGAGAACAGATCATGTTCCCAGTGCTCCATATCTGTCATTTTTGTTTTTGTATTTTTTGATGACTTGTTTTATTTCAGGCTCTGAAACATTATCTGGGTTTTTAAAAAATTAAGAGTAAGAAAAGAAGATGGCATTGCTTTAGGGTGGCCAATTTTTAACTGTGCCTCCTCAAATTAAATAGCTTCCCATGGAATACGCTTCAAAAGGGTCACCTTTCGCTCTCCTATTTCCTGCCTTTATACTTTTCAGAATTGCAATGAATTTAAGGGTCTTGGAAAAAGGACTTAAGTAAATTAAATATTACATTTCAGTAAATAGGTGTTCAATCACCAATTGAGACATCAAGTTCTCTTGGCTCACTCACCCTTCACCCACTAACAATAGTAAATAGTTGGCTACAGTTTGATTATGAGCAGTGTGAATATCAAATTAATTAACAGCTAGTTTCTTCTGTTACATTGATGACTTTATGGGAGGATAAGTTATATTTTTTATTAACCAGTAGCCATTGTACACTCAATGAAGCTTCCTTTTTCTAATATTTTCTCATTCATGAAACACACAGACCCATACTTAAGTAAAAATAAGAGAATGAATGAGTGGATGGATGAATGAAGGAAGGAAGGTAGTAAGGAAAATCTTTTCCAAATGCAGAGAATCTGCCATGGATCCTTGGAGAAGCAACTATAGCACATCTCTAAATGTAATATCTTAGAGTATACTTACTCAAACTGTGACAGCTTGGAAAAAGTTTCCTGGCAAGCAGGCTAATTTAAGGAGGAAGAAAAGAAAGAAAGAAGAAAGAAAGGTAAAATTAAAAAGCTTGCAAGCCTGGCAGGGGCTTAATTAAAGTACCAAGGAGAGAAAAATCTCCAAGAAGAAAAATGCTCTACTTAGGAGTTCAGATCTTGGCGAGCTGTGCATGCAGTATTCCCATTAGTGAGAGAGGGGAGGTGCTGGGCTCATGTTAGAGAACAGCCCCTGAAATCACCCCTTTTTTCTGTTAGTTTGTTGGGTTTTTTTTGTTTGTTTTTTCATTCAGGAAAGCCTTCACACTTGTTTAAAGCTCTGGCAAAAGAGATATAAAGAAGAGATTTTTCTCTCAAGGTCTTTCTCCCACTGCCTGTTCACAATTTCAGACTGGGTTGTTGTGGCTGTTTAATGTAAAATCCTAATTCTGAGATTGGAGGTTGGGCTGGAGCTCTTATCCCTTGTCATTACTTTTCATTTCATGAGCACATTCCACTTCTCAAGGAGAGCAATATTTCATAGTTCCCAGGCTCTCTCAACTTTATTTAAAAAGGAAGAATAAAGAAAAAATAAACCAACACACACTACCATAACAGCTGATTCCGCTATCCTGTGTTGGAATATGGAAACATGGCAGACCACTCGCAATGCTGGGGCAGCGTGCTCATGGAATGTAGAAGGGTCTTGCACTGGCTACTGTCTTTCATTGGAACATTCAAAGAAATCACACAAATTTGGCATCACAATCTCCACAATTTCAAGTGAGAATTATCTCATTTGGAAATATATCTGTACACATGGCACTTTGGGGGCTCTGGTATAGAATGCCCATCTTTTAAACTACTTTTAACCAACCTGGTTCTAAAGGAATTAGGCAAGCCACTCTCTTAAGCTTAAGAGATATAGAAGACAGGCCCTTGTAAATCATTTGAGGGTGTGTTCTTTGAATTTCTGAAAAGAATTGGAACAAGTGGGATGTCCTATACTAACGTTTAAATTTGTCTAGAATTCCAGAAACATAATTATGGCCATGACTGAACGAGGCAGAGTTGAGGCAGGCAGCATGCAACTGGAACTGAGGCGACAGCAAAAGTTTTCTGCCAACACTTGTACAATGGGTTGTCATGAGAATGAATGAAATAGTGGTTAAGAAATATTTTTCAAATGGTCAATATCACTAGCCATCAGGGAAATGCAAATCAAAACCACATTGAGGTATCACCTCACCCCTGTCAGAATGGCTATTATTAACGAGACAAAGAGTAACAAATGCTGGGGAGGATGGGGAGGGTGGGGAGAATGGGGAGGATGGGGAGGATGGGGAGCTCTTATGCATTGTTGGTGGAATGTAAATTAGTGTTGCCCTTGTGGGAAAAAGTAAGGAGATTTCTTAAAACTAGAAATAGAGCTGCCACATGATCCAGCAATCCTACTACTGGGTATACACCCACAAGAAGCTCCACCATGTTTGTAGCAGCACTGTTTACAGCAGCCAAAATATAGAATCAACCAAGTTATGCATCATCAGATGAATGAATAAAGAAAATGTTGTATATATACACAATGGAATACTATTCAGCTCTTTAAAAGAATGAAGTCCTGTTATTTAAGCAAAATGGAAGGAACTGGAGGGCGTGGTGTTAAGATAAATAAGCTAGACCCAATGTCACAAATACTGCATGTTCTCCCTTATATGTAAGAACTAAAATTTAAAAACGACTCAATCTGAACACAGTATGCTGATTCCTAGAAGCTGAGAGGAGTTGGAAGGATAAAGTAGTCTGAATTAAAAAGGAAAGCTGGGTGCGGTTCGTTAACTGTGAAAAATATATTAATATGAGACGTTAATAGGGGAAAAGGGATGAGGGGTATATGGGAACTATTTGTATTACTACCTCAAAAATTTTGTTTTGAGAATTTAAAACTATTCTGAGACAGAACTTTTTAAAAAGGACATTACAAATGTAAGATACTATACAAATGTTACTGGGATTTCTCAAGCTGAGCTTTTTTGTTTTCCTAAAGATTTTTATTTTCATTTAAAAGGCAGAGTTACATAGAAAGGGAGGGAGGGAGGAAGGGAGGAAGAGAGAGAGAGAAATTAAGAGAGAGAGACCTTCCATTTGCTGGTTATCTCCCAAATGGCTGCAATAGCCAGGCTGAGCCACACCAAAGCCAGGAGCCAGGAGCTTCTTCCACGTCTCCCACAAAGGTCCAGGGGCCCAAGCACTTGGGCCATGTTCCGCTGCTTTCCCAGGTGCATTAGCATGGAACTTAACAGGAAGCTGCATTGGAAGTGGAGCAACCGGGACTTGAACTGGTGCCCAAATCCTGCGCCACGGTGCTAGCCCCTCCAAGTGTTTTATTTGAGAAAATGATCTGAAAGAGAAGAGACAGGAAAGTTCTTTCCACATTGTTCAGGACAAGGATGCTTGAACTCAGGGCTACAAGCTGAATGTTTCTGTCCCACAAAAATTCAAATGTTGAAATTCTGTCCCCCAGAGTATGTGGAAGTGGGGCCTTTGCAAAGCGATTAGCCATGAGGATGGAGCAGTGGTGAACCCCATATAAAAAAAGTCCCAGAGAGACTGTTCACCTCCTCTACCATGTGAGGACACAGCTTGAAATTGCCATCTAGGGACCAGAACGTGGGCCCTAACCAGACACTGTACTGGTTGGCACCTTAATCTGGGAATGCTCAGCCTCTAGAACTATGAGAAATAAATCTCTGTTTTGTAAGCCACCCAATTTATGGTGCATCTTTTTTTAAAAAAATTATTTATTTATTTGAAAGTCAGAGTTACAGAGAGGCAGAGGCAGGGAGAGAGGTCTTCCATCTGCTGGTTCACTCCCTAAGTGGCTGCAATGGCTGGAGATGTGCCGATCTGAAGCCAGGAGCCAGGAGCTTCTTCCAGGTCTCCCACGCCGGTACAGGGGCCCAAGGACTTAGGCCATCTTCTACTGCTTTCCCAGGCCATAGCAGAGAGCTGGACTGGAAGAGGAGCAGCCGGGACTTGAACCAGCACCCATATGGGATGCTAGCACGGCAAGCTGCAGCTTTACCCTCTATGCCACAGCACCAGCCCCTTATGGTGTATCGTATAGCAGCCCAGATAGACAACAATACTCAGCAAGTGTGCCTTAACTAAATCAGAATTAAATGTCTTTGTTGTGGCATAGCAGGTTAATCCTCCACCTGCGGTGCCAGCATCCCATATGGGCGCCGGTTCTAGTCCCGGCTGCTCCTCTTCCAATCCAGCTCTCTGCTGTGGCCTGGGAAAGCAATAGAAGATGGCCCAAGTCCTTGGGCCCCTGCACCCACATGGGAGACCTGGAAAAAACACCTGGTTCCTGGCTTCGGATCGGCGCAGTTCTGGCCATTGAGGCCATTTGGGGAGTGAACCAATGGAAAGAAGACTTTTCTCTCTGTCTCTCCCTCTCACTGTCTGTGACTCTACCTCTCAAATAAATAAAATCTTTAAAAAAATGTTTTTGTTGTTTAATGTGTGAAATGGAGGGACTAACCAACAGTGTAATGTGGCTGAGAAATACGTTCTAATGCTGAGCAAAGACACACGTTTCCTAACCCATCTATCTGGCACAGCCGTGAAGCTATTTCGTATGTTTCAAACTCAGGGTAAACTCTCTATTATAAGTCATAATAAAATATCCCTAATCAATGAGAGAATTGCCACCTAGTTCCATAGTAATGGTAAAACCCACACCAATGGAGATACTTTTACTGCATTTCATGCGAACTCAACTAAAAAAAAATCTTTCGAAATTATAAGGATATTCATACCAAGTCCTAGAAGGCCATCGGGCTTGACCATAGCTCACGTTCGCTCTCGTAAAATCTACAGAGTGCCATGTTCATCAGATCCACTCGTGAGTTCTTGGCTTTATAGGAAAAGAGACAGGGAAATTGACTATGTGCGCTGAGTCTGGGCCTCTTACCCTCAGATACTTGCACTTTCCTGTTATGTTCTGTACTATAGAAGGGTTGACTCTACCCAGTTGTATTTCATAGGTGTTCTTGAGAGCTGCTGGCAAGAAATAGCAGGATGAAGGAAAAAGCTAAGGCCAGACATCTTACTAGTTTATCCTCAAATCCCTCCCCCACATGCCTCAGTTAACTTTTTTGCCTAAGTTTCCAC